TGGCTACTTTTTACGTGGTTGTGCTAGCCATGTGACTGCATCAATAACATGGCTCTGACAGCAAACAGAAAGTGGAACAGAGTGTAAATGTATGTCTGTATGAGAACTGCACTTGAAAAAGCTTAAATGAGCTGGTGATGGAACAGACTGTACAGACTGCAGGCAGCACTCACACCACTGTGCAGCCAAAACAAAGCTCAATCAATCAATCCAACAGCACCATGTTGAGACGCTGCCCTTCAACTGCTGATAACACCAAAGAAAAAGAAAAGAGAGGATGTGCAATTACCAGTACAACGTATGAAAAAGGCTTTAGTCTTTTAGGCCATAACTTTCAACAAAAGACACAACAAAGACAAGTTTTATCAACACAGAGTGAGACACCACAGGGAACGTCTGCAGCACTGAATCCTTGCAATAGTGTGCAGGGAACTAATCGTACGACCAGCAAGTGATTTAAAGGTCAATTGTGTAACATTTCGAAATTCAGAAATGTAATATTCACAAGTATGTTTTAATAATAATTAATTCATAATTAATAATCACTAAAATAATGTTGTGTTTTCATTATCCTTAGAATGAGCCGTTTTTATTTTTACAGACACCACAGGTCACCTAACCCTAACCATGGTGAACCGCCATGTTTCTACAGTATCCCAGAAGCGTCAAACTGAAGACTGGCTCGAAATGGGGATATATTCTGTGGCCACCTGCTTTGCCCTTAGAAGGGGAGTGTGAAACGTTTGCAACTACGCTGCAAGAGGCCACTAAATCCTACACACTGGACCTTCAAGAGAATTTCTGACATTCACCAATATTCTAGTACTTGAATTTTCTCACAGGTTCAAACGAATGTCTGATTTTTCTCTTTCTCATTCGACCCAACATCATGTCTTAATCTGAATGAATATTATATTTGTTAGGAGATCCTCTCACTGCTGCTTCGGGGTCTTCATGCAGGTCACTGTCCAGTAACATGCTATCACATGCAATAGTATAACGTCACCTACTGTATGCTATTAGTGCTGCAATTAATATTTATTTTCATCATTAATTAATCTGTCGATCATTATCTCGAATAAACAATTACTTGTTTGGTCCATAAAATGTTGAAAAACATTGATCTGTGTTTCCCAAACGCCTCTCATTACCTGACAACATTGGTCACATACCGTAAGAAGAGTTAAACATCCCATACAGCTGTTTACAGGCAGCTGGAGGCTGCTGAGGGAAGCCCTGAGGTTAAATTTAGAGCTCTCCACAGACGTTGTTGGTTATAGTTTAGTGATCAGCTCTGAGGCAGCCGATGGGAGGAAGTGGTGGAGAAATGCTTTGGTTTCAAGTTAATTGAAGGTGATTAAGAAGGTGGCCTCCCCATTAGGTCTTAACAGAGCTCCTGCTTGATTAATCAATGTCTATTTAGTCTGAGCCCTCCGGCCATCGCCATAGTTTCCGAGCAACGTGGAGACGAAGCTGGTAACCAGTGAAGAATGAATCTCACAAGCAAGCTTGGCCTTTCATTTTTCCTCTCGTTTTTTTGTCTCTTTATTTTATGATATTGTTTTGTCTTCTGCTGTCTCTTTATCACTCAGCACCCCTTCTTCTGTTTTTTTCTTCATCAGTGTCTGTAGCAGTTTAACACTCATGGTGTTTTTCCCCCCTCTGCTCTCTTTATCCTCAGTAATTGTCTTATCCAATTCATCGTGTGATTTGTCTGTCACGTACTGTTCTACCAGAGAACAAACCCTCCAGAACATGAAATGCTTCCACCTCCCCCCATGAGCCAATAAGAAAACCTGTTGTTTTCTTCCTTCAGCCTTCAACTCTCTGCTGATAAAAACAGCATCTGAAACCTCTCAGCATCTCTTCATAACATTTACTTTGATCCAGTTGGAGTGCATCGTGCTTGTAGACCTTTCCTTTTCCCTAATCCCCAGCTTCACAAACAGCAGCCTGGAAAAATCCCTCAGAGGTCAGAAGTGCTTGACCTCGGCCTGTCGCCTACCTGATCAAAGCTGAGCTATGTGGACATGCTGCTACTGCCATAGCTTCTCTTTATTATTGATACTACAGCACACACAACACTGCTGGGTTGACACTTAAGCAATCCTTTTCCAGGACACTTTCCAGACCACAGTTGCTCACAATGATGGTCAACATGTATGGCACACTCTACGCTGGCTCGATTTCGTGAAGGCTCGGCTGTTTTCACCACAGTGAGCTGCGGCCTCAGCGGATTATTAATCATCTTCTCACCTATTAACAATTAACAACCACAACAACAAATGTAATGTGATCATTAATAACAGGCTGTATTGCATGTAGATATGACCATCTACAGCGTTTCCAAAATAGACTTGAGGCAAAATGTTGGCTATAAGGGGTCAAGCAGCTCTTAACTGACATTGGAGCCAAAATGAAAAAGGAGCATTTTTTTGTTACGTTAACCCACTTTGAAGTGTCATAGCACAGCTTATCCTAGCAACAGTCGAGTTTCAAACAACATGTGCACCCAGGTTCGTCTAAATGAGGGGCTAAAATATAAATAAAATGACTCAGGACAACGTAGATTGTTTCCAGGATATTTGGTAATTTTGACCAATTTCCAGGTGTTTCCATGACTGGAAAACTGGTCACTAAATTTCCAGATGTTCCAGGACATGTGGGAACCCTGTTAGAGAACTCTGTGAATCTCAACATATGAAGAATGAGACAAGGAAATGTCTTACATTTGTAAATCGCATACAAGTCGCTTAATGACGGGAGGAATGGTCCACTAAGTGCTGATAAAGGCTTTATAGTTCACCACAAATCTCCCAGCAGCTGTATCTGGTGCTGTAATGGAGGTCCAATGGAGAGTGGCTGTTTGCAAATAACGCCTAAATACGTTACTGTGAGGGCTGGTTAAAGAGAGACGCCTGAATCAGCCCCACTGACAGTTTACTGTAAGCCGTTCACATGAGCTTCCAGTAGAATAAAAGTGCTTTTAAGTGCAACAGCTCATTCTGTCAGGTGGGGGATATCATATCAAAACAGGCAATGCCACGTTCTTAAAAACAACGCAGCTCTTCCTGCCAAAACTTGACAAAATTAGGAATCTTATTTTTAAGCACGCTTATACTACTGCTGTCTGTATACAATTACAACCTCAGTACTGTAGCACTGCAGTGCCAAGTACCAGAAGAAGGTTTTCTTATTCTTTGATCAGTTCCAGATTGAAAAGAAAATCTTGCCAATTTTAGACCCTTTTATTTGGGGAAATTTGTTGTATGCTCGTTCTTTGATAGCATTTTCTTTGGAAAACAGGTCATCTAGAAATCTAGGTTAAAACTGGGCTAAATTTGGTTAAAAAGAGAACAAGCCAAGGTTACATTTAACTGTTTATTCAGCATTCACAGAATGCCTGTCCCCAATAAATGCTGCTAGTTACAATATATTTTAGTGTGTAGTTAATTATCTGTATCAGAATAGGCGTGGCTTAAACTTGGACTTGGACTGAACTAACCAGAAGTTAAAACCTGAAACTGATATGGGTTAATCAGTTGATCAATTTTTAGTAGAAAACTATTCACAATACAGCCTCCGGTTAGAGCCTGAGAACAATGTTTCTGATCACAGTAGTAAAAGTCTTTCTTCAATGAAAGTTGTAAAATATTTTACTCTGATGATACCTGTACTTGTAAAAAGTAGGTTATCCATACCGGACACTCGCATCAGCCCTGAAATGCTACTGAAGCAACAATTTTATGAAACTATGGTAAAAACTGCTTGTTTTTTCTGATCAACACTCAAAACCCCCCAAAGATTTGAATCTTACAATGATCTAAAACAGACAAAAGCAGCAAATCCTCACACTCGAGAAGCTGAAACCAGCATATTTTTAAAAACATTCTGTTGATACTTAATTCATTTTTTAGCACTATATCCTTTGTCTTAGATGGTGCCCGGTTTGAACCTAGCCGTATTTCCCCCTGCTGTGTTGTTGTGTCTTCACTTTCAGACTGGGAACTGTGGTTCTCCTCCTTCAGGGTATCACAGCTTAATCAAGCAGTGACAGAGATGGCAACCCCCCCTCCCTCCTCTTCCTCCTGTGGTGATGGATGGAGAGCTGTCCTTCGCCTCTAAGCCTGTTTGTTTTGCTCCACTGTTTGCCATTGATTCAAGGATTACCAATCTAAATGGGTTTGATCAGAAAACTGTAAATAGTAACAAAAATGAGCTGATGGAAATCTCCAAACAATAAACTGTGAAAGCAGTGTGTGTGTGTGTGTGTGTGTGTGTGTAAGCTGGAGGCTCTGTGGTTGAGTCATAGGGGGATAAACAGTGGCAGCATATGGATTGTGTGCAGAGCTGTCTATACCGATGAGAGCTTATCTTCCTCTCATCCGAATGACTCTATTCAGATTGACTTTTCATAATTTCACTACTGTTACGTTGGGATCCTCCCTTTCTTTACAGCTCTGCAAATCCTCCAATTCAACTGGTGGCATTTTCACTTCCCTGCTTCTCCTTTGTTTCCCTCCTCTCTGTAGCAACAGCAGCAGCAGCAGCAGCAGCAGCAGCCAGCCAAGCTTTGCAAATGTCTTGAAAGGCAGATAGAGGCTATAAATTGTAGCAGCCTCCACACTGTACCAGTGCAGCAGAGCCAGGCTGAGCACCACAGGTCCAGCCTGCCAGCCAGGGGGGCTCGTGCTCATACAGGCAGAGAGGCGCTCAATTCATCAGTAATGTCAGCAGTCAGTCGCTGAATGCTGAATCGGTTGAGTCAGTGTGTCAACACTCAGCCAGTCAGTGTGAGCCTGGCTTCTGTTACAGCATCAGTGATGACATCAACATGTTTACACAGAAAGAGAGAGAGAGAAGAGGAAGGAAAAAGAAGAGAAAGCAAAGCGGGGATGTTGTGGTGTAGTACAAGAAATGTTAACCTGTGACCCCTGAGAGCTTGACTTACTCTCCAACACACACACACACACACACACACACACACACAGAGCAGCTACCTGTCGGAGTGTCTTGAGCATCTCCGTGGCCTCATCCTGCTTGCCCTGCTTGGCCATCAGCATCATCTCCTGGATCATGCTGATGCGGCGTTGGTAGGGTGGCGGCGTCCCGCCACGGCTCAGCCGGTCCCCTGACTTCAGCATGAGGGAAGCCAAGATGTCGCCCCGCTCCTTGGTGGGCGTCCGTTTCCAGCTGTGCTGAGGGCTGGCCCCTCCAGGCTCCTGGCCTTTGGTCTGCTTGGCACCCATGGCGCAGGAGTTAACGTGAACTGTGGTAACAAGGCCGGTCCCACCGAGCACTCATGCAGAGGCAGGTTTGATTAATGTCTGAGATACTCTGCTAATTAAAATGCCTGCAGCTGATCACATCTTTCTAAAAGCCTGCAGTGTGAAGCACTACAATTCCAAACATGAAAATGTTCATTATCACTCAGTTACACAGAGGAGTGGATGTTCCAACAGTACAAAACAATACTCCAAAACATTCAGAAGTGGAACTGCTTGTTTTCTGCTTTTGGGAACTTGTTAATCCCAGAGAGTGAAGCTCAGGTCGGGAACAGGTCGGAGGATGCTGCCTGCAGCATGGCCGCAAAACACGGACACAGCAAAGTCAGGATGCAGGATACCTACAGTGCAGAGCGTGGCCCGCCGCAGCCTCCTATCCCGAACACAACTTCACCACGTCTCCAAAATATCGACCTTCGACAGCGGCGTCGTCTTCTTATTCTGTTATCCTCCTAAACACAGCCCTCTGTCCTGGACCGGAGGAGGAGGAGGAGGATGCGGATCGGGGGAGGTGGTGCATGAAGCTGGGCATGGCAATGTTTACGTCTCCTGAAGATCACCAGCGTCAGTCTGCTCCTCCTCGCTCTGCCCTGTCCTTCCTCAGCCGCTGGAAGTCATGCAAACAACCACAGCGTTCGTCCTTCTCCAAGGTTGATCCTCCATCCGCTCCGGAGCACACCGCCGCATCGAAGTGTCTGTCCGCGGGCTGTGTGAGAGGCTGCAGCTCCGCGGCTCCAGTTGGCAGGAGGGGAGAGACTGGGGTGTTCCCTTGCTGGGACTGAATTATGTATTGCACCCTCTGTTCAACTGTATGGGGGCGCGCAGCGAGTGCACGTGAGCACAAGTCCCCCCCCTCCTCGCGGAGTGATGGAGAGAGAGAGGGAGGGCGGGAAGAGCACGAGCACCGTGCACCGCTAACTTTGCACTTTCTTAGCTGCAAGACACGACGTGTGGTCTTCTCTGGGATGGCGGCGTACCAAGTTCCAATAAATTAATGAGTCATTTTAATGCTGCACAGGTCCTTTCCACACATATACATATCTGGTCTAGATGACTCATACCTTTTAAAAGCCCGCATGGTCTTCGAGTAAAATCGGCATATGTAGCTTTTTGTCAAAGTATCAATTTATTAAAAAAAAAAAAAAAAAGCCTACAATTTAAACTAATTGATTCATGTTGCTGGCTAGCATATTGTGGCGGAAGTAGGCCACAAAAACCACTACAACCAGACTATAAAAGTTAGAACCATGTTAAAATAGGAGCAGTATTGTTCAGTGGATCCTACCATAGAAAACAAGGAATGATATACTTACATATTAGTTTATAAACGGCGTTGAGTCCAGTTCTGTCTTCGGTAATAAGCAAGACAATTTTAAACTAACGTTAGCTGATTTCCCTGTAGGTTTGGTCATTTAACAGTTACGTACAAGACAAAAAGGGACGTTTATCAGCCTTATGTTTATTTAAAATGTTCACATGAATGAGGATAAACTATTGAATATATTTTCGTAATATAGCATGCAGTTTTACCTGGCCATCAATATAATATGGAAATCACTGAAGTTTTATCAGCAGTCAATGTGATCACATGGTACACACAAGTGATGTTTATGTAGCCAGTGACCAATGAGATGCCTGCACTGACCTCTGGTGGCTGTTTGGATTCATACACCGAGAATTATAATGTGGTCGCAGCACATATTATGTTTTAGTCAATATATATATATAAAAAAGTATGTATAATAACTATAATTAGTTGTAGCAGTTGTACAGTATATGAAGCTGAACTAGAAATAGTGGCTTTTATTGCTTATGACCTTTCAATGTTGGACATTAAGGCAAACTGCCAACTTTTATTAACCTCATTCTAAAGATAAAAAATACATTTTCTATTTCTTTGCATGTGCAACACCTGCATTTAACAGAAACTAGAAAACTTAGAGAAGAAAGAAATACTTTTCAAAAGGTATATTTATTTGTTTTGCCTTTAATTACATCTCTATTTACAGTAGTATTCCAACCATCGTAGTTGCTTCAAATCACTTATCAAAACAAAGATGTTAGTTTCTTTCCTCACTTTACCAGAGAAGGTTTAGGCTCAGAACTTTTCCTGTCACAGAGCTTCTAAAGTCATACAGTCAGTCTTAACCAAAGACATCCAGCATGTGTGTACAGGATGAAGACTTCATTCTGGTTTTTACAGAGAGCACACTGCAGCTAAGTAGGTAGACATTTCATACACACTCACACACACACACACACACTCCTCTCCCGTTAGCCACAACACTGGCTGCCAACAGCTTGGTTTAATTACTTAATGGTGTGCTACGTTTATTATAAAGACGACTACGGCCTGGCCTTCACCTCTTTAAAGCAAAGGTTCACTGCTTGTTAAAAGCATTCAGCCCCCCTTGACTTTTCTAGTTTGAGCTTTCACAACATTAAATCACTGTGGATGGAATTATGAGTTTTAAAAACACTGATCCAGAGAATGGGCCTGTAATGTAACCAGATCTCTTCAAAAATGAAGTACAAAATATAAAAGTTCTAATCATTTATTATTTAAGTATTAAGTATTCATTGCCTTTACAATGTCACACCTACATTATAACTGGAGCAGCTAACTGTTTTTATAAGTTACATTATCATTTGAATAGAGATCAATGTGTAGTCAACTCATTTCAGCGTTAAAAACATCTGTATCTGGAAGGTTCGATTGCTGGGTTTCTTCTTTCCTGGCAAGAGTGGTATCATTAAGACAAAAGAACCCTCCACACATCCATCTGCGAGAGGTCCATCAGAAATGACCACTCAGACATTAATTAGAACTCAGAGTGCAATTAAGTCATCTCATTTAAGAATATGACACAGCTGTAATTCTGTGTCCATGTGAGAAGAGCACTAAGAGACCTGTGGACTCTGAGGGAGCTACAGGCTGCCTTGGCTCAGACTGTATACTAAACCAAAGACTCCACATCAACAGTCCATATAATGTGAATGTGGCATGAAGCCAGGTGGTGGCAGCATCATGCTACGCTTCTCTATAGCAAGACCAGGAATGCTTTAACACAACACTAATGTTTGGAAATGGGAGAGGTTAAGCAGGTTTACACTTAATAGGGAAAAGTGGCAGATGTGTCCAGATGTGCAAAGCTGACAAGAGATCTTTCTTCAGACTGTAGAAAGCTATAGTTTCTACCAACGCTGCTTACTTTGGATCATTTGTAGAGATTTCGTTTCATTTTGACATTAAAGCTGCAGTAGGTAACTTTTCTAAAAATAACTGAAATGTTTGATGAAACTTACAATGTGTCCTGACAGAAGTACATGAGAAAGATACTCTGTGAAAAAACAGGCTCCTCTGGTTCCTCCTAGTGTTCTCAATGGTATTTGTAAGAATCCACAATAAACTCTTAGCTCTGATTGGTTGTTTTCATTCAGGCCCAGTGGATTCTTGTAAATACCATTAGGAGCACTAGGAGGAGCCAGAGGACAGAGATTATCTGTCTCATGTCCTACTGTCGGGATAGATTGAGTTTCAGCAAATAGGAAAAAAAATTATCTACTGCAGCTTTAAAGTCTTAAAAGTTTTAACAGTCTTTTTTTCTGTTGATCAGTGTCAAACAGACCGTAACTCCATCCACTGTGCTTTAGTGTTGTACAACAGTTAAACATAAATACTTGCGCTCAGAATCTGAATCTGACTCTTGACTTCCCACTCACTAGTGGCCCATAGAGATGTGACGTAACTGAACTGTGATAGGGTACTGTGAGAATTTAAAAAAAACATGACAGGAAAATAAGGTTCAAGATAAAAAGTCATGTTTCCATGAATTCAAACAAGAACATTACTAAGGAAGGAGGACTTTGTAACATGTAGTTTATGTGATGGCTTAACTATTGACTTAAAATATGAGACTGAGGCCTTTTTATGAAGCTCAGCTGGAGTTGTTGCTCTTTTCATGAACCCAGAGCTCTACAGGAAATGCTCCCACTACAAAAACAACCGGTCAATATTTCAGATATTGAATGCACAACATGTCTGGCTCAACATTAACTCCCCTCCCTCCCAACACTCTTCCACTAGACTGTGCATGTCTCTTCAAATACACCACACAGTGAAGATGCACTGCCGATACCCTATATGATTTAATCAATGATGTGTTGCTGTTGGATGCACTCTGACAGGAAAGGGGCGAGGTGGACCTGCATTTGGATCTAGACAATGCTGTATTGTACCTTTGCATAACCTGACTCACTAGTCTTATGCTGACGGCTGAGACAATGTTACAGGGGGGAGGACAGTTCTAGACAACCCAGATGGGACCAGGACTGACGGTGTGTCCGGGGTCCTCGTAGGTAGGGGGTGACTCCTTGCTGTTAGAATGTGTAGCCAGCAGGGGGCGCTTTGTCGTCTTTGTTGCTCTCCAAGGAGAAAGGAGGAATGCGAACATCGAAGTGGGTGCCGTCAGTCCTCTCAATGCGGAACGTCCCCCTAAACACAAATAATGGAGGTCAATATTGCAAGCAGTGAATTAGTGACAGAGCATAAGATCCGATTGGTGAATATTAAACAGGAGCCATTTGATATGACATGACCAGGAAATTCATAAAGTGATAAGTTGTTTTAAGGTTATAAAACAAACCGTAAAAAGCAAGTCTAAAATAGTGATTTTTAAAAAGGTGAAGACAAAGTGTTGCTGATCTCCACCAGCAGGTCATTCCACAACTGAGAAAAGGCCAGGTTACCTTAAAGCCCGATTTATCCTTCTGCATTAAATTGCAGCCTAGGACCCTACGCCGCAGCCTACAGTTTAGTGTTTGTGCGAGTTGTCTGAGAAGGGAAAGCGACTCATGCAAAACCCAGATGAGTTATTAATGCTGTTTGAGAATCCCTCTTCAAAACACACACACGTGTCCTCACAAACAGACACAAATGGGACACTGCCTCGCTGCATGACATGCTCTTGTCTGTGCCCTCATACTGCCTTGTCCTTTTGTTTCACAGGCGGCAGGGGGAAAAAACGAGGAAAACCCAGGACACATTGAGGACAGAGACAAGGAATAGTTTCAGTTTTAATTGGAACTCAACACAGTAGCATAGAAACCCCACCACCCGCTAGCACTTTGGCAGAGCCGTTTGCAGACACACCAGCGCACAAGTATACATTTTCATAACGGCATAGGTAACTTGCCTATGTCTGTAGGCACAACGTACAATTAGAATCAATCTTTAGTTTTCAGGTTTGACTTAGGAATGACCTACCAGAATAGCTCAGGATGTATTTCAGCACATAGGAGGTCAGCTATATAGCCCTTTATAAACCTTAATTATTAAAATGTTTTAATCTATTCTGAATCTGACTGAGACAAGTAAAATGTGTTCTCTCCTGTTGGACCTGGTCATAAGTTTGGCTGCAGTATTTTGAATCATCTGGAGTTTATTGAGGTTTGGTTGTGTGAGGAGAGGGCAGAGTGCATTGCAGTAATATAACCGGGATGAAAAGAATGACTGTTTCTAAGTTTTAGTAGGATATGTAGCAGAGATGGGAAGTGTGTAACAGTAAACTGGTGTAAGAAGGGTGAACTCACCACATGTGACCACTGGGGGCTTGTAGAGACACATGGCTGCTGTACTGAAAGGCTGGCTGTTCTTTGGACAACACCGGCTCCTGTGACAGAACAGAGACCATGTGACGAGGTTACACAAAATTTGTGTTTAAAAGTGCAAGTCTGGGTTTGCATTACTACTGTTGACCTTTGCATTTGTGATCGTCAAATTTAGCCTGCAACACATTATCTGCAGAGCTAATTATGTGTACACACAGCTCGAAAAATATAAAAAATTGTGGGCGATGAAATAACAAAAGAAGGATTAAAGCTTAAAAGAAAATGACAAAAAAACAGTTGGATGTCTCTTTGTGATGTTTCATTGGCATCTGACAACACATGTACTGTATTTCCTGTTAGTATACATCTCTTGAATACTGCATTTGTGTGTGTTGTACTAACCCTTCCTACGACTCCTCGTCCTCGGACCGTCTCCAGGGTTCCTGACAGGCTGAAGATCCTCCAGTGCCTCTCTCTCAGCTGAACCACCTCGTTGCCCATGTTCTCCAGACGGATACAGTACCGCCACTGCAGGAAAACAACACACACACACACACACACACACACAGTGAGTCTGCCGGCACAGGAAAGGTTAACACTATGAAATATACCAGCGCCTGGCTTGTAGCTTCCCACTGTCACTGTCCTTGTGGACCACTCCACATGATAAAAAATTTAAAATAAAAATAAAAGGAATCTGCTACTCACCCAATACACATGGGAGTTCTGGGCCTCCTGAGAACAAGAGAGACTGTCTATTAGTATTTCAGAGCCAACCAAAACAGAAAATGGCTACAAGAAGCCTGCAGGCCAGGGCCGTAATTGGCAGATACCTGCGCAATGCAGATGAGCTTCATGCTGGTTGCCTACAGGCTGCGCTTTAAGATCCAGTTTTATATTTCAGAGGTATAGGCCTAATTTATGCATGTAAGAGTTGAGCTGGTCAGTTACCCTCATGCCCATGTAGAAGGGGATGACGGTGACTCGGATGTTCTCTGTGGTCTCCCTGTGGACATCTGAGAGCTCCAGCCAGGGGTGGTTCTTCTCCTGCCAGGCCTTCAGGGTGTCTCTGGCTGTGAACGGAGGAGCTACAGAGGAGGACAAAACACACAAATATTTACTGAAAACACTCTTCCTTTAGTTCGACAATCTCACTGGTTAGTGTCAACAGCAGAACTGAAGCAAAGGTAAAACTACAGAACTTGTTGTGTATCAGTATCCAGTGTGTTTGAGAGCCATTTTAGGAGTTTTAAGCATATTTTGATGATTATCAGTATTATCAGTATCAACATTGTGAAGGATAATCCTGACATGAAATTACCATATCGCCCCATGACTAGTTCATTATGAGGATTATGGTAGAAACGTGGCTGTGTGTATTCACTGTCGCTGAAGTGAACCTCTGGGCAGTGTAAAAGGTTTGATGTTGAAAAGCTGAAGCAGAGACAGTAGAGGAGTGTTTACATTTGGCAGGGTTGTGCATGAGGAAGCGCTCAAACAGTTCGTGCTGGATAGGGGCCTGCTCTGTAGCGTTATAGGGCAGGATGTCTTCATGGCTCACATAGTCCAGACCTGAAGGAAAGAAACAGAGACTCACGGTCACACAGGGATGAGACAGAGAACAATTATAACTGCAGCAAATGGGAAGTTTTATATTCTAAACCCAGAGCCTAATGTAATACTAAAACATGAACTTTAAGGAAACTGAATGTTTTGTCCTGAAGTGGAATTAACAACACTGGGTGCTGAGCTGGACCATTTCATCAGTAGAATGGTCATATCTTTGCCCCATTCAAAAAGACCCTGGGATATACAGGGCCCACCAGTGATATGTGGCCACTAGGGCTGCAGCTATCGAATATTTTGGTAATCGAGTATTCTATCGAATATTCCATCGATTAATCGAGTAATCGGATAAAACATACTTTTGCTTAATTAAAGCCCAATTATAAATATACAATA